CTCAAAAATTTTAAAGTATACCGTTTCTATGTTATTGGCAAGAAAATAAATATTTTAAAAAATCCACAAGGACTCTAATAAATTTGTGTACTTCCTCTTACTAAGCATTAAAAGCAATCTCGAACTGAATCGAATTGCCTGTCTTTCATGACAGTGGGTGAATAATCAAGACTGTTACTAATAGAAATGACTGTTAATAAAAGTGTATATAAAAAAAGGTTCTGGCCCAGATAAAGCAAAATATACTGCTCAAAATAATAATAATGTAATAAAGGGAACACGTAAATAACACAATCTAACTCCAAGTAAATCAAACTTCTATGAAATCAAATTATACACTTAGGAAGCAACACTGATTGACAAACAATTTCACATGCATCAGTACATTCAACTTTGTACAGAACAAAGTATTCAATGAGAATATTTCATTCATTCAGATCTAGGATGTGTTATTTGAGTGTTCCCTATATTTTTTGAGCAGTGTAAAACAAAACCCATGACTTTTGCACAGTAGAGAGATCATATTTCTCCAGTTTTAGCTTCTCTCCACTGACTCCCTGTCAAATTCAGAACAGAATTTAAAATATTACTCCTAACATACAAAGCTCTTAACAACCAAGCTCCATCATATATTAAACAATTTATTGTTCCATATTTTCCTAACAGAGCACTTCACTCTCAGACTGCAGGTTTACTTGTGGTTCCTGGAGTTTCTAAAAGTAGAATGGGAGGCGGAGCTTTCAGTTATCAAGCTCCTCTCTTGTGGAACCAACTTCCAGTTTCTGTCCATGAGGCTGACACTCTGTCTACTTTTAAGATCAGACTAAAGACTTTCCTTTTTGATAAATCCTATAGTTAGACTTAGGTTTCCTGAATTATTCTTCATTTCTGCTGCTGTAGACTTAGACTGCTGGAGCACAAACTGAGCACATTTCTTCACTCTGCTGTTGTCTTTAGTGTCTCTTCTCTACATGTTTATTGTAATTATTTCTATCACGTTTTTTCTTTGTCTTCCAGAAGAAGGTGCACCTGGACCAGTCCCGGACCAGGGGCCCTCATACATAAAGGAGTGCGCAGCTTTCACACTAAAAGTTGACGTACGGACAATTTTAGAAAAGTGCGCCGCACCAAAATATTCAGTTGTATAAAACTGTGCGCACTCCTTTCCTTTATACATCCCAATGAACGTGGAACTGAGCGCACATGAGAAACCTCCACTGACACGCCTGCATTTAAATATGTAAAACAGATGTAAATGTGTCCAGTGTGTGAGATTCTCCTCAGATTGTCCTCTCTATGGGATCAGAAAGGATTTTTAGATGCTGGAAAATTATACATTAAATGGAGAATGAGTGAGAAAACTGTCTAAATAAGTAGCGGGGTGTCATTGTTTTATGTGGCGCATTCTCACGTGATAACCAAAGCCTGAAATTTTCCTGAAATTTACAGACATCTCCCGAATGTGATATTGAAGTCTGGTTAGTTGTTATCTATTTAGTTGAACACGGTGTTGAACGGATTTAAAAAAAAACATCCCGTTATCCACTTTTTCCTCTCTCCTTTCCTCCTGCGTTACAGCAGGCACTGTCATCTCCACAGACCCCCAACCCACCGCCATGCGCAGGTACGAGTGGTAGCTTACGGATTTTAGCAAAAATTATAGATTTTTGAGGCTCATCAGACAGGTAAACGTCCAAAGGGGTTGACACATATGAACACCTTCACAGCTGGCGAGTGTGTGCACGCCTGGCGCGAGAATCTACCCAAAGCACAGCTGCTGCGCTCCGGCCACAACTCAGCTCAGCATCAATCAGAAGGTTACACACAGAAAAAATAATTATTGTTACCGTACAGTGAGCCACCATTTGCATCCGATTTTGCTCCCTCTCTTCAGACATTTTTATTTTATTTTATTTTTTATGTTGCACGTAATGTGTCGGGTTTTTCTGGCCCGGGACCCAAAAGGTTTTCAACTATGTGACAAAAATATAAAAACAGTTTACAGACTGGACTGAGGTTCTTTTGATCATCTTTAGGCTGATCTATTTTCTTGTCTGAGGTTAAATGATTTTCATTCCCGGGGTTCAGTTTCATGATAGTTCGAGTTTAAACAATAAAAATTCAAACAAAAAAAAAAATCTAACACTGTGTTCAGACACTCCTTACATCCAGAAAACACAACAGTCATATTTCTGTGGATTCAGGTCAGATTCGTGACTTTGTGAGTTAAAACTGTCGACTGAAAAACTTTGCGTGGCTGCCGCACATTCTCACGGCAAATATATGCACACTTTCACGCAATGTTTGTTTTTATACATCACAACGTGGGCGTAGAACCTGGCGCACGTAACTTTTTTATGCGTACGCACCATTTATACATGAGGCCCCTGGTCTTCTGTGTTTGTCTTGTGTCTCTTTCCTGTCCCTCAACCAGCCGGTCGAGGCAGATGGCCGCCTGTCCTGAGCCTGGTTCTGCTGGAGGTTTCTTCCTGATTAGCAGGGAGTTTTTCCTCTCCACCGTTTGCTCAGTATGGGAGACTGTGATGAAGTGATTCAACACAGCCTGCTGGTTTCTTCTTTAGATTATTTTTTTTTATGTACAATGCCTTGAGACAACATATGTTGTGATTTGGTGCTGTATAAATAAACTTGAACTTGACTAGTCAAGCTATAATCAAACCTAAACATAACAATTTAAGTAGTTAAACTGTTTATTTCTCATATTGTCCAATTTCCATATAGGTTTAGTTTTGTTGTTTTTGAACTGATCTGTTCTTCATTTGGACATTCTCATTTATTTTCTCTCCCTCTATTAAACCAAATGAGACTTTCTGTTTCTGCTCATTTGAAGTATTAATTAGTACACGTTAACAGTACTTTTCATCGAGAGCTTCTGAATGCTCTGCCACTGACGGCACAGCCCATTACACGTGACTAAAAATAAAATGCTAAGTGTCAGTGCAAAGAGCATTAGCACATCTGCTCGGGCATCCGTGTTTATTTGTAGGCACAGTAAATACTGCTGTTATATTTGTATGTAAACTGTGTGTGTGTGTGTTTTCTGTTTGTCTCATAAATGTTTCACTATTTGTTTTTCAGCTGTGACGATCAGCAGATATCCAGGACTGCTTTTTCCTCAACAATAAGGTAAAGGACTGAACTGAAGGGAAATGAACTGTGTCAGTGTGCAAACACGGCATTACAGATGATGGTGTGCACACCAATTAAATAAAGGGAAAATACCGGTAGTTGAAAGTGTGTGATTTGCTCAAATATATAAGTGTAAAATTACATGTTTGAAAACCTTTAATAGAAGCATGGCAGTCATGTTGTAGATTTGATAAATGATCACTTTCACTGACCCTGATTATGACCCATTCTGCTGTTAATGTTACTGTCTCATACTAATTCACATATCGGTGCTGATAATGGCTGGTTTATGTTCTGCTGGTACTTTAATGCTGTAATAAGCTGCTCTGAAACTGTAACATCTGTGCTACTGTTGTAGTCGGACTTCACGTGACAGCTCTATGGTACGGTTCATGTTTGTGCTGGTAAGACTTAGCAGGGTAAGTACTTGTTTCCAGCTGTCACTGAGCCATATGGATGCATAGTGTGAAAGGTTTTGAGTTTTAATACCCTCAGTTGCAGCAGCAGAGCTACAGTATTTTCTCGCACCTATTGTTTTATGTTTATTCCTTCTTGTTGTCATCACTGTATTTATTCATGTATAATGCGTAAAATTTAATCCATAAAATCATCCATAAAGTTGTGGGGTAGTACTATACTTGGATAAATATTTTTACTTATGTATTTTAACTGAAATATCGGCAAAATTATCGAGTCCAGAAATGAGACCACATTGTAAAAAGCAGTTGAAACGAGCTCACCTGTGACACTCCTCCGTGCTTCAGAGCGAGGTAATAACAGATCCAAGCAGGCGACGTGATGTGGAAAAAAAGGGGGAAAAAGTATTCCTACACCTTAGTAATGATAACAAACTAATGACATTAGCGTGTGACCGGGCCACTGCTGGAACAACAACAAACACATGTCCATCTGTAATGGCTGCCGTCTACCGGTGCTCTAAAAAAGTTTGTATCCTTGAAAAAAGTTTCCCCACCAGAGGGGGCGCTCGTGAGTAGGAAGTAATCTGCTTGTATCTGCTTGAAGATGGCCCAAATCTCATGTGAAATCTCTGACTTTTGTGTTGGCGCATACTGGTGGACTATGTGTAAAATGCCAGAATTCATATGATGCTGCTACAGCTGATATACTGTATATTTGTTGTCAAAATACCTTTTAGTACATATGTTGTTAAAATAAAATAAACAGTCCAATGATCATTTTACTCATATACAGTATATAAAGACTGCAAAGGCTGAAAAATCTTTGTCTGTATGAAATTGGAGGTAGTTTAAGGATTACATTTTTTATGCTTTTTAAGCTAAAAAAAAAGTGTGGGGGTGGGGCGGGGGGTCGTACATGAATAAATATGGTATATCAATGCTGGAATACTCTAAAAGAAGGTTGTTTGATCCAAATCCAGTTAAAACACATTAAAACATGATTAGACATGAGAAGTTTTTTTTATTTTCCCAACCTTGTTTCTGTTAGACCAACAAGGGAGAGTTTGTATAATGAAAAAATATTTGATTTCGAGCTGTTTGCCAGGAAAACCTTATCGTTTGCCATATGTGACCTCCTCTGTGGGTACAGTGGAACATGTTAAAAACTGCAGAAAACTAATAGAAGCCAGCCAAATTATAATTAAATTGATCTGTGCCCTTGTACTCAGACAGCACACAGTAATGTTCATTTTGCAGCTGACTCAATGTGCTGATTTCACAGGGCAATTAACTGGCAGCATCTGGTGCCCATCTTCTCTGGAACCACGCTCCACTCCACAAATGACTTTACAGTTGCTGTGTGTTTTTAGTTTTTGAGCAATTAATGAGCGCAGATGTTGATACGCTTCAACAAACAGCCAAATTTCAACATCAGTTGATGTGCTTGAAGTTCTAAGCCGAAAAAATATTAGGGCCACAGGTTAGATTGTGGCTTTTGTGGAGGTGATGGCATGTAAATGATCCTTGACATTGTCTATTCATTTGTTCATTTTCTCTTCTGAAAAGTGCTCCCTTTTCTCTCTGGTACCAGCATTCTGCACAACTCCATGTCATCCAAAATCATGTTTTTATTTGGATAGTTTGCTTCATTTTATGCATTGTGTTAATAGTCAGTTAAAATTCTTTAGTGGCAATAATGTCTTGCCAGTACAGTATAATCTGCCACCTCTTTGTGTCCTTTTTTTTATTGAGACTTATTACCATGACACTTGAGTTTTTATTCTTTAAAACATATTTACACAATTTTCCCAGTCTATTTACAGAAGATATATGGGGAAAAAAAGTTTCCAGTCTGATCACCATTAGTGCTCTCCAACCAACCATAGCTGGAGTGCGTTCCTCTGAGAGCCAGGATTGAGTCTGGGATAATGTGCACCAGATTACACCCAGATTCCAGCTCAGAAGAGGATTGCGATCCGTCACGTCATGACATTTCAAACACCGTTGTAGTCGATGACAGAGCTCTTTCTGAGTTGACTGCACAGGCAGTGGTTACGTCATACTATGAGCAGATGTTGTGGAATGATTGAGTCAGAGTAGCATCATTTAGCAGCACTACCAGATGTGAAGTGCTGAGCAGAACTTGGCACCGCAATGACAAAAATCACGTCACGTTCAGCAGAGCAGGCTCTTATCTACTATTATATTTCTCACCTATTTTCCTGGGAAGTTTCCAAACAATTCACAAACGATTAAGGGTTTCGGGTGAGACTGTGACTGACTCGACCGTCGGGCACATCAGGTGTAGGTGACCCACTGGGCAGTAAAGCGTTTAATCGTTTGGTTCATCATGCGCTTGTCTCAGCGGTTCTTACTCACCCTGGGAAATGACTGGCTCCTGAGCACATGCTGCAACTTTTCCACCGCGTTCCTGCCACTGCCAGAAATTTACCGGTGAGTAACGTCATGTCTCCTGCTGCTGGGAATGGAGGGGAGGCCTGAAGCTGTCCTTTTTGCAGATAACAGCAGCGACTGAATAAACTAGTTAGTTTTAAAGGCAAAGTGGTTGTGCAGAGTAGAAGAAAAATATAATCCTAACTCAGTAAGGGACAATAAGGAATTCTATTATGTCCATTAATGTGCAGTTGATATAAATATTACATGTTCAAATAAGGATGGCTGTAGCGCTTTTGTCTCTGATGATTGTAACAGGCTGAAGTTTGGTCCTCATATTTCGTGTTGTCTAATCTTTTCTGATATTTAGGAATTTTGTGTATACATAAAATTTTTGTAGTGTAATGATTAAATGAACCATTTCTGGTTGACCTCTAGTGTTTTTTTCATTAACCGTTCTGCCCTGCTACACTTCTGTCTGGGTTCTTAGATAATTTAATCTGTCCATCCATCCATTTTCTTTATCCGCTTTTTTCGTCACGAAAGGAGCTGATTTCCCATCTCCAGCGGCCAATGTGAGGGAGACGGGTTACACCCTGGACAGGTTGCGAGTGAACTGATTTAGTTTACACTTCTAATTTATTCAACAAGTGGAGCAGAAAACAAGGTATATATCAACATTTTGGAATTATTTTTTGCAGCTGTATTAGTTTAAAAACAATTTCACACCAAGAATTTAAGGATTAGGGAGTTGTTTGCTGGGTGGTTCCAATCTGGTTTGATGTCTTGTGCATTTTTTAGTTGTTGATTGATGTTTTTTAGCCCTGCTTACAGAGGACAGTCATGTAGGTCAGTGTAAAACTGTTTGAGTGCAACAGAGGATGTTCTAGATTAACATAGTCTTTTCTAGGTGGTATGTAGTAGTATAAACATGTATTGTACTTAGTGTTGAATTTAAGTATTAGATTTGCCACTCCTTATAGTAAAAATGTTCATGTTTGAGCTCTGTGTGCATTTAACATTAAATAGGTGTTAGTTTCACAGTTTCCTCATTATATTATATTATTGGCTTTTAAATCAAATGTTTGAGTGTTCCTTTTTCATGATTCTTCTCATTTAGAGTCTAGCTCAAGAAGCAACATTAACACCGTATTGCATTCAGGTAGTTTTTGAATTGTGAATTCACTTCTGTTTATTCTGCTTGTACAGAATGTGAGGATGTTTAGCTGATTGCAAGCGGAACAGGTTTTGTGTGGATGACTGAGCTCTTGAAGCTGATTGCAGGTTTACTCTTGGAAAGTGTGTGTGTGTGTGTGTGTGTGTGTGTGTGTGTGTGTGTGTGTGTGTGTGTGTGTGTGT